AGTGGACCTCACATGAGTGGGGTTCGTCCGAGTTCCACTCAGAGGTGAAGATGTTATAATCCCATAAAACTCGGAAGAGCTCTATCATGTCAGGGTTTTCCTGTTTCCCAGCCAGACTCCAACAGAACTTCACAGAACTCACAGAACTGAGAACTGGGCACATCACAGAACTGCCACTTCACCGAACATCTCAGAACTGCTACCACACAGAACTACGATCATCTCAGCACTAGGAGAACTAGGAAGTACCGACATTTTAAAGGCTCTATTTCCGGTATATTTGAGAGTTCCTGATTGGTCAATATCAACCAGACAGGGGTGTGTTTTGTGATGTAAGAGGTTACTAGAAGTCAGAAAACAGCAAGAATGTTATTGGAACAGATTGAAAATGTTCCCAGACAGGCGAGAGAAATGTTTGGGCGAGTTTGGAGAAACAGGTGCCAACTCCTCTGTTTACGTCTGAGAGGATGTAAAACAACGACCATTCGTTCCAACAACTTGTCTGCTTCGACTCCTGACCTTGGAAAACGTACACTGCTCATTCAAAGACAGAAATCAGAAAATGCATAATTACTCTGTAACAGACCTTAACATGAATTCTAACTTTGCATAAGCAACTCAAAAATCATTGTTACTGTTTTACAGTTAATAAAATTGATTAGTTCACTGTAACATCTAAAATGTTTGAACTAAAACACTTTGATTATCAAACATTTGTAAAACAGGAATGATAATAGAAAAGAGAGTGTTCTTTCACTTGAATTTTCAAGAAAGAAAGTCTCAGGATGGGTGAACCTGTATTTCTGGATTCAAATCAATGAAATGACAGTTTCTGTCCCACAAGGTTCTTAAGGTCAAGGGTTTTGACCTTAGGCTTAGTTTTGACATCAGGTCAAGTTCACTACAGTATGTATGCATCTTACTTCAGCTTTATAACTCAAACACCACACTCTCTGTTCTTTGAATTGAGAAAGCTCCTTGGATGAGAAGCAAAACTTCTTCTGTTACAAATAAAGTCCAGTTGTTTTTGTATTGAACTTTGTTGAATTTTTTTTTTAAGACGTGAACTTCTAAGTGTTAATTTACTGATGTTAGTGGCCAAACAGTGAGATTAATTTGTGGAAAACAGAACATTAGGAGGAGAGAGAGAGAGACAGGGGGGAACGTATCCCTTGTTAATAATAATCCATTTCTTAACAGACACTGTACTCAGGTTGTGTTCAATCAACATGTTGGAACTCCAACTAATAATAATAGCCACAGACGCCAAGAATGTTTGGGGAAAAATAAAAAGAAATTATCCAAAGCTGCCTTGAATAATTGAGAAAAACTATTCTTACTATAGAATGGAGTGCATCAGGGTGGACACTCGTTTCACTCACATTTCAGCCTTATTTTAGTTTTTACAAACAATGACACGGTGGAATCTGTTGTGCTTGTGGACACTTGAGATTAGATTTGAATCGTTTTAGAACGTGGTACAATCCAGATAATTTTTATTGTCCTGATATACAAAACCCCACAACTGAAAGAGGGTGGACTTTCTTTTTCTCATGACAGTTCATTCACAAACAAAAAGTGAAGCCCCAACAAAGAGGTAGAAATGAATAAAACTGCTCATGTTCAAAGACCACGTGACTCAGTGGTTACATCATCAGCTCAAAGGAGAACACACACACACACACACAATTGGAAAAGAAACTAACAGATGTAAATAGACGAGCAGAGATCAGGTCATTTTACTAAACATCATTTACTGATCCAACATTTTTCAGTCAGGTCATCTGGACAGTTTCTTTTTTTTTGTGCTGAAACATTCCACCTTCCATCCAGAAGGCTTCATCAGTCAAGGAAACAACACAAAACTGGACCCCCCCCCCCCAAACAGCTTACTCCAAAGTGGAACAAACCAGTTATGTTGGTGCTAAGATGGTGTCTTTGTCACACCCCCCCCACCCCCCCCCTCCATTGCCCGGCCCTCTTCCTTGTTGACAGTCGTCAAACTGGTTCAAAACAACAAGAAAAAAAGAAACTGTCCAGATGACCTGACTGAAAAATGTTGGATTGTATACCTGGATTATTGAGCATGGACTTTATCATTTACTGATGTTTAGTTGACAATTGTTTTTCTTTCAGCTGTTCCCTCTTCAAGGGTCATGACAGCAAGTCGTCCTCCACTCTGTCCTCCATGTCCTCTCTGACTGCAACTGTGACGACTCTGATCATGAATTAATTTAATTTGACTTGGTCTAAGCTGAACTAGTTCTGTGAGGGATGAACTTGCACAACACTGGTCCTGTGAACCACTCACTGCTGTTATAAAATGTATGAATATTGTAATAAACAGGAGTTAAAATAGAAAAGCTGTAATCTCACCACCCAAAACTGACTGCCATTTAAAAAAACTGTACCAGACAAATGTGTTTTTAAGCAAACATTTTAGTAAGAACACGGTAAATTTTTAAGATCAACCAAAATGTGTAAAAAAACTTCTATATTTTTGGTGTAAATAATTATAGTTTCAAGAAGTTCAATTAATTTTCTTCACACAATGCCACTTCACAATAACCCCCGGGGTCACTGGTGTTCATGTCCAGCAGACACTGTGCGAGAGGCGGGGGACACCCTGGACAGGTCTCCAGTCCATCACAGGACACCCTGGACAGGTCTCCAGTCCATCACAGGGACACCCTGGACAGGTCTCCAGTCCATCACAGGGACACCCTGGACAGGTCTCCAG